AGGGCCGAGAAGGAGAGACTAGCGAGGGAAAGGGCCGAGAAGGAGAGACTAGCGACTGAAAGGGCCGAGAAGGAGAGACTAGCGACTGAAAGGGCCGAGAAGGAGAGACTAGCGAGGGAAAGGGCGGCTAAAGAAGAGAGGGAACGAGTGGAACGACAGAGGGCAGAAAAAGAGAGGAGCGAGAGGGAGCGCCTCATCAAGGAGAGGGAAAGATTAAGCCAAGAGAGAGCAGAGAAGGAAAGATTAGAGAAGGAGAGACTCCAAAAAGAAAGGGTCGCTAAGGAGAAAGCAGAGAAAGAAAGAATAGAGAGGGAACAACTTAGTAAGGAGAGAGAGAGAATCGCCAAACAGAAGGAGCAACTAGAAAAAGAAAAAACTGGCGAAGAGAAATCTGAAAAAGAACAATTGGACAAGGACATGGCCGAAAAAGAAAGACTGGAGAGGATTGCTAAAGAAAGGGAAAGAATGGCCAAAGAAAAATCTGAAAAGGAAAAGATAGATAGAGCGACTAAAGAGAAGGAAGAGAGGGAAAGGATTGCTAGGGAAAGAGCTAGATTGGCTCAGGAGGAGAGATCAGAGAAAGACATGGCAGTGAGGAAGGAGAGGGAACAGATGATGAAGGAAAGAGAGAAGCAGGAGAGGGACAAGTTGGAGAAACAAAGGCTATCCAGACAGAAGGAACTGATGGAGAGACAGCGGCTGGCTAGAGAGAAGGCCCTCCAGGAGAAGATGGAGACAGAGAGGCTGGCCAAGGAGAAGCAACAAAATGCCACAAAGAACGACCTGAAGAGACGAGACCTTCCAGAGAGGAAGTACAATGCTTCCCAAGCTTTAGCTCCAGCAGCCATCAGGAGGGAGAAGACGGTTGCTGATGGGACTAAAAACTGACTGATGAATGGACGGTGCTATAGTCCTGAGCAACAGATGAACTCCTGGTTTAAAAACCAGGTTTATCTGGGTTGGGTTTGTTTGAACACATGCAGGTGTTGTACCCGTTGGGATATTGGAGCCAAATTCAGTTTGGTCTCTATAGGTGGGCCCAAATATACGAGCCGAGGGGTGACAGGTGGTAGGCAGCCGTTGAACCCAAAAGAACTCAAGTTTATGACCGCTGTGGCTGAGTCCATGTAAATACTGTTGCTGTGTACTTTGGAGTTATTGGGTTTTGTGCATTAATTGTCTTGTCAGAGTTGAATAAACTGGTGAACCTGAAATCCAAGACAATCCTTGGTACTAACTTTTACGTGCCACAAGAGGTACAATGTTTGCCAACTAGTGCGTCACAGCAAAGCAGCTATGGATCAATACTTCACTAGTGTAGTATTACACTGGTTGGTACAGGGGATGACACCTCTGTATGCAACCTTTAGCAAGGTGAATCAGATACTTTTATTTTGACAGATAAGTGAAGATTTCAAAATGTCATTGGGCTGTCACTCTGGACAAGTCTCCAGTCCATTCCTGGACACCCAATCATGCACATGCAGAGCTAAAGGAAACTTGGAGTAAACACATTTTGGGCCGTGGGAGCCAGAGTACCTGGAGAGAACCTCCGTATCCACAGGGAGTCGTACAGAAAGGTCTCCAGGTCGGGACTCAAACCCAGTCAACCGTTCTACCATCAGCACCACCGTGGTGTGTTTGGTTTATCAGCTGGTCCTCCATGTAGATACTCCTAGCCACTTTATTTGTCTTCATAGTCGTGTGTTTTGGATGATCTATAGGGATAATTGTAAGTCATCATAGCATATATAATTTTATTAAATTCTGTATTTTTTTCCTAAAAAAACTTTACAGACCTTCCCAGATTGCTGTTCTGATCCCAGTTTGGGCCAATTGAAGAATGAGAGATTTTGATATTAATTACCAAAGAGAAAAAAGTTGAATCTTTGGATCTCAAAGATGTTAAGAAATGTCCCCAACTTCTGAAAACATTGACCCATGGTTGGAACAAAGCGTTGTACCTCTAAATAATGTTGCATAAAACCAGTGGTAGGAACTGCTAAGTAAAAAGTTAGCTGTGCTAACTCTAAAGCGGTAGCAGAGCACTAAGGCACTACACTAACACGGTATGTAGTGGAAGCTAATGGACCAGGCAGGGGGCGCTATAAAACCAGACTCTGCTCTGCATCAGAAGCTCCACCCCCTTTCCGCTGGTTCACAAACATTCAACTTGTAATCATGGCAACTTTTGTCAGCTTTATGTCTTTAATCAATAAAATGCATCTTAGCTGTGTATGTAGAACCACTGAAACTAGAATATACCACAGGTAGAAACTTTAGATTATAAACTTTATACATTTAATATAAAGATTTGACCTCATGTTTATGTGTGAGGTTGTTTGTTAGGATTGTTTTGGTTTAAGTTAATTTCTGTTTTACCTTCTTAAATATCCGTTTTATTTTATTCTTAAATGTTTTGAGCTTGTAGTTTGTAGAGAAAATGTTTGGAGTTCAGTTCATGGTCCTCTGGGTTCCTCCTCCTGGTGACGTCTGCCTGTAAACCACATCAGTCACTCTGCAGGTTTCTGTTCTGTTTTCATGTATTTCATGTCTGTACTTTAATAAAACAGTGAAAATGTTTTGGCTTCAGTTGAAGCTCCTTTTTCCATTTATTTAAATTCTACAACACTTTTCCCAAAAGGAAATGTTGCTGTGGGCTGGAGGGATCTCCAGTAGCAGTCTGTCTACCTAATCTGAAGATCCCTCTGACTGGAGACTTCCCTGACGCTTAATATCCAGGCATCAGAGATAATAATCCACACATCCTGGATGACATCATCACATCTCCTCTGTCTGGCAGTACGGTTAGAAAGATGTTGGAGTAGGGGATATGATGGATGGAAGAGATAGTTTGAACTTCATCCATTTCTCCAACAGAGATTTGGGTTTAAAGGTCATGTATTATTTGAAATATTCTAATCAGCTGCTAACAGTTATAAAAATGACACCAAAAAAGTTTTTTTCTTCTTCTTCTTGTAATAAAGGTCAAATTGCAGAATTTATTTATTCCCATTGTTCGATAACCAACCTGAAGGAGGCGCTGCTCACAGGTCCTGGAGCCTGTAAAAGTATTCACACTCCAAACCTCAGTGGGTTTTATTGGGTCTGATGGCTGCCTGCTGTGTCCCAAATGATCTTTACCTTTAAGGTTCTGCTCTGGGGTTAGGTTCTGATGGGGAACCAGCTTCCTGGGTCATTCGGTCCGATTTAAACGCCCTGTCTTTGGGTTGCCAACAGGGTTGGGAGCAGCGCCGGCGCTGAAGGGGGGGAATCACCTGAGGAGAGAACAGGTGAGGTCTGATGGGATCATTTAGCTGGATGTTAGTGGCCACTTTATTAGGTACACCTCTGCTCTGGATTGGTCAGCCAATCAGATGGGAGTTCAACCTGAGCGTCTGAATCAGAACCGAAGAGGATTTAAGGGACTCTGATCGCAGAATAAACAAGCTACTGATGTGTTTTTGTTGTTAGAAAAAACCAGTAAGCCTGAGGTGGAAACGCCGACCCAGAGAGCTCCAGAACTGGAGAAGGACGGTCCTGCAGCGGAGGAGACATCAGGTGGGACATGGACACCTGTCCTCTCTCTGCAGCAGCAGGGTCAGAGGATTAAACCTGAAATCTGCCCAACAATCAGGATTATTTAGCAGAAATAACTCATGTTTATGACTCACTGCTCACCTGCTGCCTGTTGGCATGACGACGGTAACGCTGTGTGTCTGCTGCAGTCCCTGGATCTCAGGACGTGGAGTCTGAAATCCAAGGTTGGTTCCGCTGAGCGGCTGCTGCATGTGAGGGATGACTAACTCAGTTAGCGTCTGGTTCCGGTCCAGCTGCAGCTGTGACTCAGAACCAGTGGAAAGAATGCTAAACAGAACCAGGTTCTGCTGCTAACCGGATCATACTGGGGCTTTTAGTAGTGCTGGGCTCCGCTAACGGTTAGCAGCATGATCATTAGCTCCACTATGGCAAAGCTTTATAGACACGGTATTTAGTAAAAACTAATGCTACAGCGCTCAATACAAGTGGTACGTAGCTGAAGCTAATGCTAATGCCCTATATCTGCATTGTATTAGCAGAAATGAATGCTAAAAGGTCAGACATGCACGGTGTTTAGCTGAAGCTAATTCTAAAGTTCGAAATTCAATCATGTCCAGACCCGCCATGTGTTGTGAGGAGGCTAACAGTTTAGTAAAGGTAATTTAGGGGAGGCTAAGATCACCAATTGTCTTCAAAATAAAAGAGCTGTAGTAGCAAACAAAACATTAGCTCTGCTAACAGCATTAGCTCATTAGTAAAAGCATGGCTACCACTGCACGAAAGATCCTCCACTGATCCGCTCTGCGCTGCAGATCAAAACGTTTCAGCTTTTTTCCACCCTTTAGCATCACTGGCTAATTCGTTAGCACTGCTTAGCTTCATGTTAGCCGTCTTTAGGACACACTTCCTCCCTTCTTCTCCTCCCGCCTGTGGTCCAGTCTGTCTCTGATCCAGCCGGTCCGTTACCGGCTCGGCTGCATGTATCGGACCTCTTCCAGAACCGGGCCGGGCCAGAGATCCGGGTTCGATCAGCAGTCTGACCGTTGTTGTTTCCTCTGCAGCTGCCGTTCCTCTGCCGCCGCTGGACGACAGCCATTTTGTTCCAGGTGAGTCTGCAGCTTCCTGTTTCCTGTCCAGAGTCTGTGGATCTTTATGAACCTGCTGTTTGTTCTGCAGACGACCCGACAGAACCCGGACAGCGCTACGGTCAGTACCAGAACCAGAACCAGAACCAGGCCCGGTCCTGTCAGGTTCTAATCAGTCTGTTTGTTCCAGAGGAGGAGCCCGGCTCCATCGACACCACAGGAGGTGAGCCCCTCCCCCACCCGCTGCTGATCATTCAGTGGTTCTGATTCTGACCTTCTCTGTTTCCTGGTCCAGTTCTGGTGGAGGAGAGCCAGCCGGAGGAGACTGAAGGTGAGTCCGACCTGAGACCAGGTTCTGGTTCTGGTAACAGTTAGACTGATTGTTGTGTTTGCTGCCCCCTAGAGGTCAACCGTCTCATTAATGATGACAAACTGAAGCTAATCAGCACTGAAGGGGTTAACAGCTGGATGCAGTTTTATTTAATTTATATTAAATAATAAAATAATTTAAGAAATTCAACTATTTTATTTAATAATTATAACTATTTTAAGTTATTAAAGTTTTTATTGTAATTTCTATTTTACTTTAAATATTTGTTTAATTTGCATTTATCTCGTTTATTTATTTTCACATTTCCACACGTGAAGCTGTAATAATGAGTTCTGCTGCTGTTCTGCAGGGGAATCGGGTCGGTACCAGACCAGCTCCAAACTCTCAGCGGAAGCAGGTGGGAAATAAACGACATTAATAATAAAATCATCTGTTTGTTGTTTCAGTTCAGTCAGTGACAGGTTTCTGACTTACAGAAGGAGAGGAGCCTCCTAAAGCAGAACCAGAACCAGAACCCCAGACTGGGTCGACCCAACCCACAGAGAGCAGGCAGGAAGCCGACGGTGAGAACTCGCTGCTGGTTTAAGACTTTTGCACAGAGCCACCCAGACGACCATGACCGGCTCTACTGTTAGAATGAAGTCCAGTTTGTTTGTTTGACCTTTGACCTCTGGTTTGGTTCTGTGGGTCAGGAGCAGCAGAGAAAGCAGCTGAGGAGCAGAAGGAAAAAGGTAAAAATACAAACATTAAATCTTCTTCTGTGGTTTTATTTCATCCCCTGCGTCGTTCTGTTGGTCCTCCAGCAAAGAAGAAGAAACCCAAACTGCTGAACAAGATCGATAAAAGCATCAAATCAGAGATCGATGCAGCGGAGAAGCTGAGGAGGAAGGTAGAGGAAACGACCGGGAGACATTTCCTCTTCCTCTGATCAGCTGATCCACGCTGAGCTGACCTTCATCTTCCTCCTCCTCTTCCTCAGGGGAACCTGGACATGGCCCTGAAGGCGTTCGATTCCCTGGTCCAGCAGCATCCTCTGAGCCCGCGCGCTCGCTATGGGAAGGCCCAGGTAGGGTCCAGGAGGGGCGGCACGGCGCCGGGCCGTACGCGGTCCGGTCCAGTTCCGGTTCTGGTCCGTAACGCGGTGTCGTCCCGGCAGGTGCAGGATGATCTGGCGGAGAAGCTGCGCAGCAACGACCTGCTGCAGAGCGCCATCAACACGTACAGAGAGGCTGCAGAGCTGCCCGACGTGACCTCTGACCTGCTGAGGGCGGCGCTGAAGAGACGGGCCGAGAGGCAGCAGTTCCTGGGTAACGACTCCTTCACAACCGGGTCAGAGCAGAACCAGGACTGGGTCAGAACCAGGACCGGGTCAGAACCAGGACCGGGTCCGAACCAGGACCAGGTCAGAGCAGAACCAGGACCGGGTCGGACCAGGACTGGGTCAGACCGGGTCAGAGCAGAACCAGGACTGGGTCAGACCAGGACTGGGTCTGAACCAGGACCGGGTCAGAGCAGAACCAGGACTGGGTCGGACCGGGTCAGACCAGGACCGGGTCAGACCAGGACTGGGTCAGACCGGGTCAGAGCAGAACCAGGACTGGGTCAGACCAGGACTGGGTCGGACCGGGTCAGAGCAGAACCAGGACTGGGTCGGACCGGGTCAGACCAGGACTGGGTCAGACCGGGTCAGAGCAGAACCAGGACTGGGTCAGACCAGGACTGGGTCGGACCGGGTCAGAGCAGAACCAGGACTGGGTCGGACCGGGTCAGACCAGGACTGGGTCAGACCGGGTCAGAGCAGAACCAGGACTGGGTCAGACCAGGACTGGGTCGGACCGGGTCAGAGCAGAACCAGGACTGGGTCG